ATACTAATAGTACTAACTACTACCTCCTACTCCTACTCCTACTCCTACCACTAATACTAATAGTACTAACTACTACCTCCTACTCCTCCTACTCCTCCTACCACTAATAGTACTAACTAATACTTCCTACTCCTACTCCTACCACTAATACTAATAGTACTAACTACTACCTCCTACTCCTCCTACTCCTCCTTCCACTAATACTAATAGTACTAACTACTACCTCCTCCTCCTCCTACTCCTCCTACCACTAATACTAACTACTACCTCCTACTCCTCCTACTCCTCCTATCACTAATACTTATAGTACTAACTACTACCTCCTACTCCTCCTACCACTAATACTAATAGTACTAACTACTACCTCCTACTCCTCCTACCACTAATAGTACTAACTACTACCTCCTCCTACTCCTACTCCTCCTACCACTAATAGTACTAACTACTACCTCCTACTCCTCAGTCCTCCTACTCCTATCACTAATACAAATAGTACTAACTACTTCCTCCTACTCCTCCTACTCCTCCTACTCCTACTCCTACCACTAATACTAATAGTACTAACTACTACCTCCTACTCCTCAGTCCTCCTACTCCTATCACTAATACAAATAGTACTAACTACTTCCTCCTACTCCTCCTACTCCTCCTACTCCTCCTACTCCTACTCCTCCTACCACTAATAGTACTAACTACTACCTCATACTCCTACTCCTACTCCTACTCCTCCTATCACTAATAATTATAGTACTAACTAATACTTCCTACTCCTACTCCTCCTACCACTAATAGTACTAACTACTACCTCCTACTCCTCCTACCACTTATACTAATAGTACTAACTACTACCTCCTACTCCTACTCCTCCTACTCCTATCACTAATACTAATAGTACTAACTACTACCTCCTACTCCTCCTACCACTTATACTAATAGTACTAACTACTACCTCCTACTCCTCCTACCACTAATACTAATAGTACTAACTACTACCTCCTACTCCTCCTACCACTAATACTAATAATACTAACTACTACCTCCTACTCCTCCTCCTACTCCTCCTACCACTAATACTAATAATACTAACTACTACCTCCTACTCCTACTCCTCCTCCTACTCCTCCTACCACTAATACTAATAGTACTAACTACTACCTCCTACTCCTCCTACCACTAATACTAATAGTACTAACTACTACCTCCTACTCCTCCTACCACTAATACTAATAATACTAACTACTACCTCCTACTCCTCCTCCTACTCCTCCTACCACTAATACTAATAGTACTAACTACTACCTCCTACTCCTCCTACTCCTACTCCTACCACTAATACTAATAGTACTAACTACTACCTCCTACTCCTCCTCCTACTCCTCCTACCACTAATACTAATAGTACTAACTACTACCTCCTACTCCTCCTACTCCTACTCCTACCACTAATACTAATAGTACTAACTACTACCTCCTACTCCTCCTACCACTAATACTAATAGTACTAACTACTACCTCCTACTCCTCCTACCACTAATACTAATAATACTAACTACTACCTCCTACTCCTCCTCCTACTCCTCCTACCACTAATACTAATAGTACTAACTACTACCTCCTACTCCTCCTCCTACTCCTCCTACCACTAATACTAATAGTACTAACTACTACCTCCTACTCCTCCTACTCCTCCTACCACTAATACTAATAGTACTAACTACTACCTCCTACTCCTCCTACCACTAATACTAATAGTACTAACTACTACCTCCTACTCCTCCTACCACTAATACTAATAATACTAACTACTACCTCCTACTCCTCCTCCTACTCCTCCTACCACTAATACTAATAGTACTAACTACTACCTCCTACTCCTCCTCCTACTCCTCCTACCACTAATACTAATAGTACTAACTACTACCTCCTACTCCTCCTCCTACTCCTCCTACCACTAATACTAATAGTACTAACTACTACCTCCTACTCCTCCTACCACTAATACTAATAATACTAACTACTACCTCCTACTCCTCCTCCTACTCCTCCTACCACTAATACTAATAATACTAACTACTACCTCCTACTCCTCCTACTCCTCCTACCACTAATACTAATAGTACTAACTACTACCTCCTACTCCTCCTATCACTAATACTAATAGTACTAACTACTACCTCCTACTCCTCCTACTCCTACTCCTACCACTAATACTAATAATACTAACTACTACCTCCTACTCCTCCTACTCCTCCTTCCACTAATACTAATAGTACTAACTACTACCTCCTACTCCTCCTACTCCTCCTTCCACTAATACTAATAGTACTAACTACTACCTCCTACTCCTACTCCTCCTCCTACTCCTCCTACCACTAATACTAATAGTACTAACTACGTCCTACTCCTCCTACTCCTCCTACCACTAATACTAATAATACTAACTACTACCTCCTACTCCTCCTACTCCTCCTACCACTAATACTAATAATACTAACTACTACCTCCTACTCCTCCTACTCCTCCTTCCACTAATACTAATAGTACTAACTACGTCCTACTCCTCCTACTCCTCCTACCACTAATACTAATAATACTAACTACTACCTCCTACTCCTCCTACTCCTCCTACCACTAATACTAATAATACTAACTACTACCTCCTACTCCTCCTACTCCTCCTTCCACTAATACTAATAGTACTAACTACTACCTCCTACTCCTACTCCTCCTCCTACTCCTCCTACCACTAATACTAATAGTACTAACTACTACCTCCTACTCCTCCTACCACTGGTGAACGGACCGAATCACTACATGACTGAATCCCTAACGGACTGAATCACTACCAATCACTATTGGTAGGGATTGAGGTATACTTTCGGACTGAATCACTACCGGACTAAATCACTACCGCTAATATCGAGCATGTGAAGGTTCACATCACTGTATTGTCGTATAGCAGGTCATTATGGATGACTTGATCCGAACCAGTTCTCGTTAGGGCTCCTCGTTGCGTACGTAAGTCTGTGGATCACATGTCTGCCAGGCCCCATAGCAAGCACTCCATGAGAGCCCCGGCTCAGATCACGTCATGATATTAGAACTAGTGAACTAAGATCATCTGGTAGGGATTGAGGTATATTTTCGGACTGAATCTCTACCGGACTAAATCACTACCAGTAGTGATATTTGGGTGGTAGTGATTCCGTCCGGCAGGGATTCAGTCCTACAATCCCTACCACTAATACTAATAATACTAACTACTACCTCCTACTCCTCCTCCTACTCCTCCTACCACTAATACTAATAGTACTAACTACTACCTCCTACTCCTCCTACTCCTACTCCTACCACTAATACTAATAGTACTAACTACTACCTCCTACTCCTCCTACCACTAATACTAATAGTACTAACTACTACCTCCTACTCCTCCTACCACTAATACTAATAATACTAACTACTACCTCCTACTCCTCCTCCTACTCCTCCTACCACTAATACTAATAGTACTAACTACTACCTCCTACTCCTCCTCCTACTCCTCCTACCACTAATACTAATAGTACTAACTACTACCTCCTACTCCTCCTCCTACTCCTCCTACCACTAATACTAATAGTACTAACTACTACCTCCTACTCCTCCTACCACTAATACTAATAGTACTAACTACTACCTCCTACTCCTCCTACCACTAATACTAATAATACTAACTACTACCTCCTACTCCTCCTCCTACTCCTCCTACCACTAATACTAATAGTACTAACTACTACCTCCTACTCCTCCTCCTACTCCTCCTACCACTAATAGTACTAACTACTACCTCCTACTCCTCCTCCTACTCCTCCTACCACTAATACTAATAGTACTAACTACTACCTCCTACTCCTCCTACCACTAATACTAATAATACTAACTACTACCTCCTACTCCTCCTCCTACTCCTCCTACCACTAATACTAATAATACTAACTACTACCTCCTACTCCTCCTACTCCTCCTACCACTAATACTAATAGTACTAACTACTACCTCCTACTCCTCCTATCACTAATACTAATAGTACTAACTACTACCTCCTACTCCTCCTACTCCTACTCCTACCACTAATACTAATAATACTAACTACTACCTCCTACTCCTCCTACTCCTCCTTCCACTAATACTAATAGTACTAACTACTACCTCCTACTCCTCCTACTCCTACTCCTACCACTAATACTAATAATACTAACTACTACCTCCTACTCCTCCTACTCCTCCTTCCACTAATACTAATAGTACTAACTACTACCTCCTACTCCTACTCCTCCTCCTACTCCTCCTACCACTAATACTAATAGTACTAACTACGTCCTACTCCTCCTACTCCTCCTACCACTAATACTAATAATACTAACTACTACCTCCTACTCCTCCTACTCCTCCTACCACTAATACTAATAATACTAACTACTACCTCCTACTCCTCCTACTCCTCCTTCCACTAATACTAATAGTACTAACTACGTCCTACTCCTCCTACTCCTCCTACCACTAATACTAATAATACTAACTACTACCTCCTACTCCTCCTACTCCTCCTACCACTAATACTAATAATACTAACTACTACCTCCTACTCCTCCTACTCCTCCTTCCACTAATACTAATAGTACTAACTACTACCTCCTACTCCTACTCCTCCTCCTACTCCTCCTACCACTAATACTAATAGTACTAACTACTACCTCCAACTCTTCCTACTCCTATTCCTCCTCCTACATGGTATTACTCATAATAATACAGACATAATGGTACACACAGTGACACATCAGCAATACAGTGATTGAATGAATACTACAGCTACCAGTAGTTAATACCACAGCTCTCTCTTTCTCTCTCTCTCTCTCTCTCTCTCTCTCTTTCTCTCTCTCTCTCTCTCTCTCTCTCTCTCTCTCTCTCTCTCTCTCTCTCTCTCTCTCTCTCTCTCTCTCTCTCTCTCTCTCTCTCTCTCTCTCTCTCTCTTTATACTGTCTGCACTGCTAATCATTTTAACCCCATATATCACATGAGTACTTCACATGGTACGATCAATACATGTTGGCTATAAGGAGCTCACTACTGAACTAGAACAGTCTGTTATCCCCCTGCTATCCTCCCCCTAGACACACTTTGTTCTACGTAATAATTAGTGAAACTCTGACGCACATGTTGTAGTCAGAGATTTAGTGTTTCTTTGTGGGCAGCCATGCGAGTCTCATAGTATCCATGACAACCAGTCGGTCACGTTAGCCCGTCTTTTATCTACATCTGAGGAAATTATATGATTATTATCGGGCTTGTAATTAGGTTCACATAATTAGGGTCACGTAATTAGGGTCACATAATTAAGTTCACATAATTAGGGTCACACAAGAACAGCTGGTTAAATTGTATGACAGAAGACGAAATATTTGTAGTAATACGTTCTGATAAAGAAGTTGGTCCCCTAAAATCCTGGAGCGGACCTGCATCATCTTTTTTCAAAATCAAACAGTAAAAAACAAACTTAAAAAAAGTTTTACCATTTTGTGAAAAAAAGTTTTTAAAAACGCAATTTAAACTGAAATACGCGTACGTCGTTTTAACAAAATTAGTCTAGACCGTGGCTAATTTTTGCCAAATAACATCAATTTAAATTTTTAAAACGTCGGTTGTTAACAAAAAAAGCAAAAAACGCCTTTATGATGTGCAGAGACCCCTTACTTTGTATCTGTAGTCATTATCTTTATAAACTCTTTGAGGTTAATCTTCCCGTCCCCGTCCAAGTCTGCGTACGCTATCATGTCTCTTAATTGCTCATCCGAGAGGGGCTGTCCTAGAGATAACATGACACTCCTAAGCTCATCCTGAAATCAATACTGTTCAGTTATTAGAGAGGCTGTCCTGGAATCAATACTGTTCAGTTATTAGAGAGGCTGTCCTGGAATCAATACTGTTCAGTTATTAGAGAGGCTGTCCTGAAATCAATACTGTTCAGTTATTAGAGAGGCTGTCCTGGAATCAATACTGTTCAGTTATTAGAGAGGCTGTCCTGGAATCAGTACTGTTCAGTTATTAGAGAGGCTGTCCTGGAATCAGTACTGTTCAGTTATTAGAGAGGCTGTCCTGGAATCAGTACTGTTCAGTTATTAGAGAGGCTCATCCTGGAATCAGTACTGTTCAGTTATCAGAGAGGCTCATCCTGGAATCAGTACTGTTCAGTTATCAGAGAGGCTCATCCTGGAATCAGTACTGTTCAGTTATTAGAGAGGCTGTCCTGGAATCAGTACTGTTCAGTTATTAGAGAGGCTGTCCTATGAACAACATGACATGATTTTAATTTTAAAGCGAATTTAAATACTTCCAACGGGATTCTGTCGAGCAGAAGATTCTACAGCCCCTGGGGCCTGGATGTCCTCAATAATCTCTAATTTCAAAAACTGCTTGCTGGAGTTCAACCATACAAGTTTAATGACAGTTTCAAAAGGTAGTAAGTTGTGCCCAATTTAAGGTTAAGACAGGATCTGGAAGAGCCATTTTAACTTGACACTCCTTAGCTAGTCCTGTTAGTCATAATCATGGGTTTTTTTGCCATGTTGAAAGAACACATTTTAAAATTAAAACATTTGTGATTATAAAGTCTCGGCTCATGGAAAACTAACACACTGAATTATAAAGTTAGGCTCTGTTGATCACCACATTGACCTGGGTGATATATTCCGTTCAGGCCCTTCACAATTTGTTTCTGTCTAGTTCTAATTTACCGTCACAATAGTGACTTTAATATACAGTATACAGTATACAACCCCCCTCTCTCTCTCTCTCTCTCTCTCTCTCTCTCTCTCCTTCTCTCAAATACTAACCTTGGTTATATACCCACCCCCCCTCCCCCTCTCACACTAACCTTGGTTATATACCCACTCCCCCCCCCCTCTCCCTCACACACTAACCTGGGTGATGTACCCACTTCTGTCCTTGTCGAAAAGTCTGAACACCTCAGCTAGCTGCTGTTCAGGGTCCACCCCGGGGTTGCTGTGCCGGGACATCATCTTCAGGAACTCACAGAAGTCTATAATTCCGTCCCCATTACAATCTACCTCCGCTATCATTTCCTGGAAGAGTTGTCCGGGAGTTGTTTCTCTGTTTATTACGGTGTTTTTAAGTTTATTCTTATTTTCTTGTGCAATTCCTTTTTGACTTTGGGTATGCGAACATGAAACTCGTCAACAATTTGATAACTAGATTACCTGTATTTCCTTATGGGAAGGGTTTAATCCAATGCTTCTCAGCATGGCTCCCAGTTCTACAGTTGTTATCACTCCGTCTCCGTTTATATCAAACTGTTTAAACGCACATTCGTACTCTTCCACCTAAAATACAATTCAGATATTGTCCTGTCTATATAATATGCCCTTTAGGAACTGAATAATATATCATTAACGATTTATAAGATAGTATTTGCTAAATTAAAAAAGTACCTGCTCAACAGAAAGAGTTATTGGAGTAGGCTTCCCGTTTTTTCTTTTGTAAAAACCTGGGGGGAAAATATGTAGAATCCTTTTAAAAACACCAAGACAGCAAATGTTACATTTTATAGACAAATAGTGTTAATGTTATACTGGATCGTTAAATGAGACGGTCTGACATCTCCTTATATGGGAATAACGTGACATCACCTTATATGGGAACAACATGACATCTCCTTATACGGGCATCCCGTGGCATCTCCTTATATGGGAATAACGTGGTGTACTACTTACCCACCAACTCAGACTTGGTTAACGGTATCGGTCTCCTTTTTGGATACCAGTTTTTTATCATTATAGATTTATTTCTAGCCCTGAACGACATTCTTGCAGAGAGCTTACACAGGATGAACCGAGGGAGAGAGAGGGTGGTTATCAACAACAAAACTAAAAGCGTGTAGAGTTTATCAGGGTGTATAGACTCCAGTCTTATTAGGTTAATTATTAACAAAGTCCTACTTAGTCGACTAAAATTATAGACTAAAGGAATAGACTGTTGGTAATCTGCTGCTAGGCCCTGTAGGCTGTTTGGATTGGTAATCTCCTGGCCCCTGGAGGACTTGAAATGGGAGTTCTCATTAATATGATTGTTCTCCGACTAACCACCCTCTTTTTCTTAGACTTGCTTATTTTAAATCTTCTTCTGCATTATTAGAGCCAGAGTGCTAGCTAATCCGAGTTAAGGATTTAATTTAATGTGAAGCTTTGTAGGATGGCTGACGGTGGAAAATCAGATATGTGCTGTTTCTAAAGTAGTTAATGTTATCAAAATACTTCACAGGCACCAACGAGGACTCCACTGACTAATTAAAAAACCTACAGAAATTTTGTTAGATAATTGAAATTATTTCAAACTTTGGCATAATTATATTGTTGATTATGACTTCACTCCTGCTTCAACTATCATTTTCATCTTCATTTTCTCATTCAAACTAAAAATATCAAAAAAGGACAATCGGGCAACATGCAGTACAATTTAAAGCAGAATGTGGATGGCTTCTTTTTTAATTATATTTATCGTCTCATTGCTTACCCGGTTTCATTGTTGTAACATTTAGAATATCTGAAATAAAAAGATCTACGACAAACGTATATCGTCGGTAACAAATCCATCTTCTCTATTTGTCTCCGTGGAAACAATGGAACTCATTAATAATGCAGGGTTTTGTATAATTCTTATTATAATCAGGGAAGCACACTAATTCTAATTGGCCTGATATAATTTAATTATAAGTCTCATATAAACCTTTGTGTAGGATAAATGACTATTAGATATGAAATTATTCGAGATTATTAGTCGCAGAAATAGCCTGATATAAACAATCTCTGGGTAGTTAAACAACCTAATGACCATAACATACCTGCTTTTTGAAAATTGCAAAGCCAAATACCGCAAAGTATTTTTCTTTAATTTTTTAATTAACTATGTTTTTCTTGCGAAAGGGCAAAAATTACCCCCCCCCCCCCCCCCCTCTTTCAAAAAACATCACTTACCTCCACTGTTCTTTAAGATACTCCCGATTTGCTGTATGTTGAAGTTTCCCCGCTCCTTCTTGACATTCCTCACCTCACATCTCAACCTACTCTCCTCCACCTGCTCGCATATCTCCTCTTCACCATGGTTATCTGGCTCCTCCTTCTTGTTACCATGGCCACCTGACCTCTTCTTCACTTTCATGTCATGTCTCTGAGATGATGAGGGTGAGGGTATCCTCATGATACCGGGGTCGTATATGTCTGCGTCTGAGATGAGAGTACAGGGGTGGTACCTAATAGTAGGTTTCCGCCTGGTGTCTGCAGTTCGACTGTGAGGGTTCATCTGCTGACGGAGTATAGCCGTGATGCGGGGTGGAGGAGGAGGACTCCCCTTCTTAACACCTCCTCGCAGCATCTCCTTATATGGGTATCACGTGGTCAGACCAGGGACACTTCACACAAATCAGGGTTTAGAGGAGACGATTGAGCGAGGATAAGTCTCGGGAAGGTAGTGACAGCAGGATTGTAACTGTGGAGAGAGCAGCAGAGCCAGCTATTGGTGATCCAGACCTTGGAGCTGAGCTGGTGGTAATTCTGAGCTGGACATTAACCTGCTGAACTCATTGTGCTCTGGACAATAGATACCAAGCACGTGACAACATGACAACATGGTCATGGCAACGGCCGTTCACATGGCAACCTGGTCATGGCAACGGCCGTTCACATGGCAACCTGGTCCTGACGTCTGTTTTATAATTCTACTGTGCTCGGTTCTGCCAGATTAATTAGTTGCTTAAACGTCAGAACAATAAGCAAAAGTTAAAGAAACTCCTTATTGATGGGCTGGTGGACAGAGTCACTTTTAGTTGCATGGTACGATGGTACATGGTTCTACTGCACGTACAGTTCTACTGCACAGCCGGTTATATTTATACTGGATGGGGGAATGTAATATTTGTTCTGTCTGGAGAGAGATGAAATCAGGGGCATGAGACGAGGCATCTCTTGAGCAGATTGTTGAGGAGCATCGTACATTGTACGATGTACAATGAACGGAGATTAAAAATTAACGCTCAAAGGCATTTAATTAATGTATTTAATGTAACTACCTTGTCGGAATTTATTTGAACGGAAATTAAAATGAACGTACCACAGGGTACAGTTTTGGGCCCGCTGCTTTTCATTTTGTTCATTAATGACATTTTGAGGCACATCTATACACTTGAAGATGCAAGTATAATGCAAAATGATCTCAACTCTGTCCATGTCATCGACTGGGCAAGATGCAATAACATTAACATGTCATTGCATGAGGGTAAATTTTAGTTACTCGTGCACAAACACTGTCCCCGAAACAGCTTGCAAGACCTTCCGTTTGCCATCCTGACGCAAACTTATCGAGTTTTGCATGGTAACACAATGTACCCTACGGATGCAGTCAAAGACCTGGGGGTTTTGATCTCGGCTGACTTGTCTTGGAGCTCCCATGTTACTATGATAACAGATCGTCCCCGTAAAGTTGCTTCTTGGGTTCTGAGCGCTTTTAGATCGAGAAACAAAATCACTATGCTGACCCACTACAAGTCATTAGTCAGAAGCCATCTCGAGTACTGTTGTCCCCTCTGGAATTCAACTAAGCAAGCTGATATCGCTGAGCTAGAGGGAGTACAACGAACATTTACGTCCAAAATACATGGTGTGCAACATCTGAACTATTGGCAGAGACTGAAGGCCTTAAAATTGATGTCACTTCAACGGAGGAGAGAACGTTACACTATCATTCATAGGAAGATTCTACACAAGAAGTGTCCTAATGATGTCAACGTTCAGTTTACAGATACACTCCGAAATGGCCAGAAAGCAGTAGTCGCTAGCTTGTCAACGTCCAGTAGCCAAAGGAATCAAACGATCATTGACAGCTCATTTGCAGTGATGGGGCCTCGATTGTGGAACATCATTCCCGCAAACCTGCACCTTATCGAGGACCCCGTACGCTTCAAGTCATTGTTGACGGAGTTTGTTACATTTATTCCGGACGAACCTCCTGTTACTGGATATTGTTGCCAGAACGGGGATTCGTTATTGAACTGGAGCGCAGAAAAGACAGCGACTTCGCTGCACGGGTGGTCAGCCGTTCTGATGACCCGATAGAGGATCTATGAAGCAACCCCAGGTAACCCAAGTAAGTAGAACGCTAGGGCCTCCAGCGTCCAATTAATATACGTTAAAATATAGTCCAATAAGGTAATACAAAATTTAAATGATCGATAGTCGCAAATTCAGGTATATCTTGCAGCAGCTAATCTCGATCATTATAATCCAGTCTTGAATCTTGATATTAGCTTCACAAACAAAAACCTAAATTAACGAGAATGAAAGTCGAAATTAAACATAAACTAGTTGATACTGTTAACCTTTACCTTGCAATGATGACTACCTTACTCGGGATTATTATAACCGGGATAAAGTGGTGGGTTTTGGAAGATTCCGCCATATTTTTCCCGGTCAAAAATTTTACCAGTCATAAAAAAACCCGCCGACTCAGATTATGGGGTTCCAAGGGGGTGGTGATCATCATATTTTACCTGAAGTCTCATATGTGCTAGAGAAGACTTTTGAAGCAGTGGTTGGAGGGCTGTAACTTTATTGGCGGTTGCTACCATAATTTCGTTATAAAAATCACAATTTGGTTATAGAAATCAGATTTCAGGGTGGACCGTGATTCTCACTTTTCTTGCCCATGAAGTGAGTAAACTGTGCCACTATTTCATGGTCCACGGTGGATTGATTACTGGAGCAGTTGAAGATGCAAAGCCATGACGTTCCCCAATACCAAGCGGTGGGCAGGAAATTAAGCTCCGGCTGACCTTCAGAGCAGTAGCCCCATTAGCGGACAAAATGAAAGTCTTGTTAAGACAACAATACAACTTCGAATTTGACGGTCAGCAGCAGGGGGATATCAATAATGATAATGGAGGGGACATTAGCGATAATGAGAATGAGAATACGCTTTATATTATTTATTAATGAAGATTTGACTTATTATTGCTATAGATTTATTTTCCTTTAAATACTAGACGTGTCTTTTTTTCTATTTCTGAGTAATATCAGTAACTGTAAATTGAAATAACTTCTTTAAAGTAACAAAAACAGAAATTTCGGTTGAAAATTTGTTGACCTCTGAAAAAAAACTTGAAAGGTCGGCCACCGGTAAATACATGACCGGGATAATTTGGCGGGTTTTGGGAAATTCCGCCATATTTTTCCCGGTTATTAATTTTCCCAGTCATAAATTAACCCGCTATAATATTCCCGAGTAAGGTACATAAGTAAAACTAAAATGATTCGGGGGTATCTCGGTATCTGCCTGCATATCTAAAAGCAGTTACAGTCCTCATTAACTTTAAGATCTTGTGTTCTCTTACCACGGGTAAAGTTTAATACTTGCCAGTAATTCTTATCAGTACCGCAACTATACACTACCTATAATCAATAATTGGACGCTGGAACTTGGAAGCCCTAGCGTTCATTTTAATGCCAGTTCAAATAAAGTCTGCCCGTTCAAATATTTTCCCAAAAGTATTCCACGATGATGTGCTATTGTTAGACCTTAGAGTTTGATCCGAGTGTTTATTCAGCTGGACATTCCTTCTGGAATCTGGAGGGCTAAACCGCACGCTGTGTAAATCAAGATTATATCGATTGACGATATATAAATAAGCGCCTTGAGGGAGCGAATCAGAGAGCGCGCAGCATGTCACGTGATAACAGACTGACCAATTGAACGAGGCCTAGCGCATGTAGCGAAGCGCGTTTGAGGCCGTTTTCTGTTATCAGTTTGCAGTTACATACGCACATTGTTTCAGTATACATTCTTGTTTAAATCGTTATAGCTGCACGGAACGTGGTGTTACTATCTTGATATGAAGGTCGTTGAATCATCAGTGTTAGGTATGTTCTGGGTCAAACCTTTCAATTTGTTGGCTCTCAAAGTCAAATATGTTTTTGTTTGCAGATTAAATTCGCCCCGTGTTTAATTGTGCAAACTACACGATAAATCGTGCCAAATCCTTTAAAATTGATGTGATTTTTAATTTTCAGAATTTCAGAGGTACTTCGTAAAAATGTATTTGCCTCCACTTATAAACATGGACGTATTTTATGAAATCTGATTTTATTTTTATCTGATATGATTCAGCTGCTTCAACTACCTTCAAGCGGAAAACATGATCAAGTTTTTCGGCAACTCGTATTTTAGTGCATATGTTGCTTCATAAGCTACCTTAATTCCCAAAAATTTGGGCGACAAAAAATTTGAGCGGGCCTCTCGCTCAAATTTTTTGCAGACCAAATTAATTGCGTAAATCTTTTCCGTCTGCTAAATTTGTTGCTAACCAAACTTTTGGTATTTGGCCTGTGGCCCTGAAATCTATAAAAAGATGGCTTTTTCTTCATATCCAAGTGAAATAATATTTGAAATTTTAGTTTTCTAATCTGTCATTCATGGCTTGACCAATTAAAAAGGCTTATATTTTAAATGAATAGAAATTACTGGAATAGCTAACAGCTACTAATAAAACAAATGGCTAGAGGTACGGATAGCTAGAGATTTAAACAAGATCTGCAAATGGATTATCATCCACCGTAAAGTCTGATCTACAAGCATCAGTTATACCCGACTTCTCAAAGCCTTTCCTTATGTCATCTGGTCTCCCTTTTAAATATACTATCTGATTGAGAGACTAAATATCACTATTGTATATCTATCATTTTGTACTGTGCCATCATCACTGTATTTTTTAGTAGTTACTGGGCAGATCGTAAATTTTATAATGTGATACAACTCAGACTACCACCTACATGCTTAAAATTGAAAGCAAAATGACTGGAATAATAAGGAATAATAATGAACTAAGGCAAATATCTAACTGAAATTTTAGTGGAAAATCGTTCATTTTTCGAAGAATTTGTGCCCAAATTTTTGGTCGCCCAAATGAGTTCAAATTTTTTGCCCAAATTTTTCGGGCTCAAATAAATTGTGCTCAATTTAATGGCACACAAATTTTTGGGAACTAAGGTATGTACCCTATGTAAATATTATAGTCATTGCGAACATTTTGCACAATTCTGGTTTTATATTACGGGTATATGCCTCACAGAATGGCCAAAAAAAGGAAGGTCTCTCAAAATCACAAAACACACTTTATTCCAGTTTTTATCTCATAAGAAGCTAAGTTGACACTCATATTTTTCTTCCCGGGGGTTCATTTAATCTCATAACCATTTTTTCTTTGAGAAAAATTGGCCGGAAAATCTTCCTCCAAAAAAACATGCCTCACAGAATGGCCAAATCTGAATTTCTATAATTTTTTGATAGAGATACTTTTTAAATTTCTATCACCACACGTTGTTAGAAAACCTATTAAGGAATGGGGTAATAACCTAAAACTCACGAAAAAACTGAGCTGTGAAAAATTATTTCACAAAAAAGAAAAAATGCCTCACAAAATGGCAACAAAAAAAAAACGAGAAAATTTTATTTTTCTAAAACCTTTGGCTCTTGTTTCAGGCATGCTGCTGGTATTAATATGCCTTGTTAACACCCCCATATAGGTGAAATTTCTTATAACTGAATAAAAAGGGCATAATTTCCTACACCAAAAATGGCCATTTTGTGTGGCGTTGTTCATATTCCCTGATTTCATGATTTATAACCTTCATTCGGCTGTAAAAACACTCCATCTGGGGTGTTATTGTATGATAAATAGCTTGTGATTACTTTAGACTTATTGTTTCATTGAATAAAAGGAGTTTTAAATTTTGGCCATTTTGTGAGGCATATTTTGGCCATTTTGTGAGGCGTTTAGCCATTTTAGCATTTTTTTTTCTTCCTATATTGAACAATGTTCGTTTTGTTTGATGAATACTATTCTTTAAACATCTTCTGTCATACTGGTGCCAGAAGTTCTCACCAAAATGCAAACTTAGTTCAAAAATTTGAAAACAAATTTTGTGAGGCATATTTTGGCCATTTTGTGAGGCGTGTAGCCATTTTAGCATTTTTTTCTTCCTATATTGAACAATGTTCGTTTTGTTTGATGAATACTATTCTTTAAACATCTTCTGTCATACTGGTGCCAGAAGTTCTCACCAAAATGTAAACTTAGTTCAAAAATTTGAAAACAAATTTTCAGTGCTCAAAATTTCTTTTGTTTCATATGGTATCCACAAAACCTACCAGTCTTATATAAAAAATTAGTTACAAAAACATTTACAAATTTGGCCATTCTGTGAGGCTAGCCATTCTGTGAGGCATTTACCCGTAATTATGCTTATTGTTATTATCCCTAACTATAATTATAAACTTAAAAATAAGATGTAGCTGCATAAATATTTCAATTATGGGAAGCTAAGCATTGATTGGTTTGATCTCAATTAGATTCCCAGGTTTGACCTCAATTCTGTATATTCTTATCGGTAATTGTCATCAGCGCACAACTAACTGGAAACTTACTCTCCAGTTGTTTATGTCAAACTGTCGGCGTATGTCTGTTTGTAAAAAGTGAGATAAAGAAATAAAGATAAGGTCCTCTCAAGTTATTATACAGGTAATTAAGGTTTTGAAGTTGATTTTAAATAATTTCAAAATATTTTTAATTTTACAATCCCCCAATTTATTCTTTTCAGTTTTTGCTTACCTAAACTTTAATTTTCGATTAGTCTGCTAAGCTTTCATAATTCTTATACTGATTAACACAAGGGGACCCTTAGATAACCTTATCGAACATAATTTTAAACAGAAATTAAAATGAACGCTCAAAGGTATTCAAAGCCATTATAAATCCAACATTTTTTCATATTTTTGAGCGTTTTAAAAATAATTAACCAGAGACCACCTGTCTGGTTTAAGTGTTGTTTAATTACACGCTGTAAGGCTATTTTACTACATATGGTCTCCAGTAGGGGAGTCCAACCAACTTATGTAGACATGTAGTAATAGAAACCAAGGTCAAAAGGAAATCGCAGCACGTGCGGAATCGCGATTTTTCCCATTCTCCGCGAAAAATCGCGATTTTTGACGTTTGCCTTCCGAATGTATAAGTACGGACTTTAGAAGACCGAAAAATATTTTCAGCTCATAATGATCAGGGTAGCATGAAACATGAACAAAAGTAGTTTCCAGAAAAACTTTGAAAAAATTTCGACTTAGAAAATGTTCGGTCCGAGTCATTCTCGATAAGTACTTCGATGGCAGAGCTCCTGCTTCCGAGCTCGTATTGCAAAGGGGTTAAGCCTGCTTTCCAAGATCGCATTATAATTATACGTATGTGATGTAAAATGTGTTAGGCATATAATAATAATATATAATAATAATAAGGTTCGTTAGCACTTAGCAGGTAAACTATTCAGTGAGATTTGGGACAATGATCTGAGAACATTGACCTTAAGACAATTAATCTACATTATAACTTTATAACATACCTTTGCGAACACAATATGGACAAAAACTCATGAGGGTAAAGGAAATATTTCTACGAACATAGTGATAGTGAAAAACTTATACAAAGGATGCCACAATGCTGAGAACATGCCGCCACCTCTAAGTCGCTTTTTGGCCTAAATAATCGCGATTTTCTTTTGTCCTTGATATAAACTAACAATTAATTTTAACATTCAAGGTTACGTGGATTCGAAAAAAATATGACAACCCTTTGAAATTGATGAAACTTTTAAGTGGCTTAGTGGCTTAGACGGTCGATGAACCTATTGTCTAGCTGCGAAGTTGTGAGTTCGAACCCCGGTCGAGCTTGAATCTTGCAGCTAAAGTACACCCGTCACTTACCACACTTACTTACACTACCATACTTACAACAGCTGTGTCTCACCAATAAACCAGGTTTTGTAATAGATTCCTGTGAGTGTGAGAACAACCACTTAACTAGCTAGTTTCCTTGTAAACCCTTTAAGTAACATGGACAGTCTTAATTCGAGCAATTTCCCCTACAAGTAATGCTTTCAGCACCACGTACTAGTGTTGTTCATTCTGTACAGTAATCCGGGGGGGGGGGGGGGGAGGGGGGGTACACTACACTTTTTTATCTCGTCAAAATGTTAATTGAGCTTAAACACGTATGTTTTTACTTTACCACGTGTAATGTAATGTTAGCACTCACTTTACAACGTGTAATATAATGTTAGCGCTCACTTTACCACGTGTAATGTAATGTTAGCACTCACTTTACCACGTGTAATGTAATGTTAGCGCTCACTTTACCACGTGTAATGTAATATTAGCACTCACTTTACCACGTGTAATATCAGCACTCACTTTACCACGTGTAATGTAATGTTAGCACTCACTTTACCACGTGTAATATAATGTTAGCACTCACTTTACCACGTGTAATGTTACCACTCACTTTACCACGTGTAATGTTAGCACTCACTTTACCACGTGTAATGTTAGCACTCACTTTACCACGTGTAATGTTAGCACTCACTTTACCACGTGTAATGTTAGCACTCACTTTGAAAGTCAGCCCTCTTCGCCACATGAGCAATGTTTATGATTGGTTTCTGATGAAACCCTTTCTTTCTCTGATACGTTTTTGAGTTGGAGCGAGTCTGCCATATCGTGTACATCTGCTTCATACCAGCAGGGGGAGTCCGTCCGTCCGGCAGGGAGGGAAGGTTCGGCCTACCAATCAGAGAGCAGTATTTCAGTCACGTGACACAAAGTAGCCGATCAGAGAGCAGTTCTCTGGTCACATGACACGTGGGCAAAGTCACATGACACGTGGGCACAAGGTAGAGAAGAAAAGAACACCCGCATGATAGAAGGCAGGTATTGAAGAGTGATAGAAGATATGTTAATGATTGGTGTACAGGGTGATGATTGCAAAGTTACAGGGGCTAATAGCAAAATATAGAAACCCTTATTATGTGCCCTTACTCGCGTGTAACAAGCTTAACATTGTGCTATAGTTATGATAAGGAGGAGGAGGAAAAGGGCCAAAGTAGGAGAAGGAGGAGGGGTGGGATATAGAAACCCGTAATATAAGAATATATGCCCCTCACTCGCGTGTACTGTGTAGCTAGCTGTTTAGTTATTAAGGGGCCGGAGGTAGAGAAGGAAGAGGTGGAGTATGAGGGGTGGCTGAGGAGGGCTTGGGAGATGAAGGGCCGGAAAATGGAGCCGTAGGAGGTCAGGAGGCGCAGAGTGGTGATGAGACTCCTTTCACAAATAACACTGAATACAGAGACTAACTGCAAAACACCATTGACAATATCCCTAGCGAGACAATCACTTGCTACACAGATGGTCACGCGCAGACTTAGGAAGAGGGCTGGTTATATCATCACCACTGACAATAATAGTACTACTCTACAGAAAACATCCTGACTATAGCTCTGTTTATTGCACCCGAGGAACTGGATCAGACCGGAGTAACCGAATGCTTATTCTATGGTTATTATCCTAACGAAATTCGGGCATTTATTAATTCTTCCTCATTCCACTTGCTACTTTACCTCCCTCATCTTCACATAGATTTCCCCGACATATTTTTCCTATAGGGTTGCCCCAGAGGCAAGCATAGCATCTTGGGTCCTTGTTACTAGGCACTAACTCACTACAGGATACAATATAACACGTACTAACTCACTACAGGATACAATATAACACGTACTAACTCACTACAGGAAACAGTATAACACGTACTGACTCACTACAGGATACAATATAACTCGTACTAAATCACTACAGGATACAATATAACACGTACTAACTCACTACAGGATACAATATAACACGTACTAACTCACTACAGGATACAATATAACACGTACTAACTCACTACAGGATACAATATAACACGTACTAACTCACTACAGGATACAATATAACACGTACTAACTCACTACAGGATACAATATAACACGTACTAAATCACTACACGATACAATATAACACGTACTAACTCACTACAGGATACAATATAACAAGAACTAAATCACTACAGGATACAATATAACACGTACTAAATCACTACAGGATACAATATAACACGTACTAACTCACTACAGGATACAATATAACACGTACTAACTCACTACAGGATACAATATAACACGTACTAACTCACTACAGGATACAATATAACACGTACTAACTCACTACAGGATACAATATAACACGTACTACCTCACTACAGGATACAATATAACACGTACTAAATCACTACAGGATACAATATAACACGTACTAAATCACTACAGGATACAATATAACACGTTCTAACGCACTACAGAGGCACGCAGAGCATCTTCATGGTACCATAGTTACCATAGTAGTTATCTCATTGTGGGTCAACTAGATCCTTGTAACTAGGTCCCCTGTAAAATAATGAAAAATAAGAGTGGTCAGAGGAGGAAGGGGTTGCGAAAAATCTGCATTTCTTGTTTTTTCAACTTTTAATTTGAAAAGAATACCTGAGATATACCGGAACAGTTATATTAAGTTTAATAACACAACATTCAACATCATGAAAGCATGTCTTTTACACTCCAACTCTTCAACACGATGTATAAACAATAAATCTAGCTTACTCAATCTCTTGATTATGATGTAAACTTAAACAATAGCTTTAACAATAACTTTAGTGTACAAATAAAGTCGGCCATCTCGTCTCAAACACCCCATTAACCCCACTGTCCTCTGTGAGATATTAGCAAGCACAACCTCCATCACCCCATCAGAACGCAGTATTTGAACCACGTGACTCAAAGCCAATCACAACTAAATATTCGAAGCACGTGACCCAGAGTACCAGAATCAAGAGACTGATCTTGATGCGGAGGACGCGGAGGACGCGAACGAGCGCTCCAACTTAGCACCTCACTACCTTACAAGCTCAGTAACTTACTTGCCACATATCGTTTAACTCCAGTTTGAGGATGATTAAGAACATTCTTGTGCTGCTAGTAGTAGCAGTGGGATTCTCTAATGGGGGGATCCAACGTGCTGTCAGCATGAAACAGATCAAGGGTCTCAAGAAACTGCTGAAGGGACTTGGAGATGGAATCTTCGTCACTTGCAACATAGTACTGTTCTCTGAAATGGTTAACTACGATGAAGCCGACCTTAGGTGCAGGAACTTCGATATTGGCTCGGGAGTAGGAGAAGAGGGAAATTTGGTTACAGTAAATGACGAGGAAAAGAACAAGGATCTCGGAATCCTCTTGGAAATGGCCTATCCAGAAGAAGCCCAGCCAGCTAACAAGTGGACCAACACAAAATGGGTCTGGGCTGGTCTCAGAAAAGTAAAGAATAACGGTTATACGAAGAAAGCTCCAACTTACAACGGAGCAGATTGGAACTGGGCCGATGGGTCAAACCCAAAAGAGTTCAAAAAGTGGATGAAAAACCAGCCTGATCAAAACAACCTCAAGAAAGGTAAGAAGGGTTGTGATCAGCCACAGTGTCTCCAGAACCAAATGAGGATCAACCACCACGGACAATGGGACGACACCTATAAGTTCAAGTTACACCCTTACGCCTGTGACTACAAGGGTAAATACATCCTTTCTAGCGAACCTAAGACTTGGGAGTCTGCTTTAGCAGCTTGCTCTGATGCTGGACTTAATCTTGCCAAGGTTAGAAGCGGTGTAGAGGTTGATGAGATGAAGGTCGCCATGGATTACTTCTTGGGAGAAGTTAGCCCCACCTGGAAGACCTGGAATAATAACAACTGGGTCTGGCTCGGAGGAAGTGACCAGAACGAGGAAGGACTATGGAAGTGGTTGGATGGAGAGTTGGTTGAGGATTGGAACGTTCCATGGAGACCAAAGGCAGGAAAGGATGACGCCGAGTACCTTCCTGGTGCTGACGGACAACATGCTCTAGCCATCTCCAGATGGGGACAGTTCGATGACTCCTTCCAAGATAGCAAACAGAGGAAGCGACCATTCGCCTGCCAGTGCCCCGGATCTTAGATGACCGAACTGTTAGAAACCACGGTTGCTTATCAGCTGAAATACAATAGTTTACGAGTTTAGACAATGAGTTTTGGATTTTATTTTTGCCTAATTTTTTGATAAGCGTGAAAAGTTTGCTCATCATTCCTATGTAATTGCAAATGTAGTGGTTTGTTATTGAATTAAATGTATTATCGGCTAAAAATATTGTTCTCTCTTTGAACGATTGTAAAATGATGTCACCATTGTATCAAAAATCGTGATCGAATAATTTTCTCTGATCCTGATTAGAATACCGGTACTCTAATATTGTCCTCAAGTGAATAGTTCTGGTACTCTTTTGTACTCAAGTGAATAGATCTGGTACTTTAATATTCTCAGAGAATGGTTCTGGTACTTTACTGTTCTCCAGAGAATGGTTCTGGTACTTTACTGTTCTCCAGAAAATGATTCTGGTACTTTATTGTTCTCCAGAGAATGGATCTGGTACTTTACTGTTCTCCAGAAAATGGTTCTGGTACTTTACTGTTCTCCAGAGAATGGTTCTGGTACTTTACTGTTCTCCAGAGAATGGTTTTGGTACTTTAATATTCTCAGAGAATGGTTCTGGTACTTTACTGTTCTCCAGAAAATGGTTCTGGTACTTTACTGTTCTCCAGAGAATGGTTCTGGTACTTTGATATTCTCAGAGAATGGTTCTGGTACTTTACTGTTCTCCAGAGAATGGTTCTGGTACTTTACTGTTCTCCAAAGAATGGTTCTGGTACTTTATTGTTCTCCAGATAATGGTTCTGGTACTTTACTGTTCTCCAGAGAATGGTTCTGGTACTTTACTGTTCTCCAGAGAATGGTTCTGGTACTTTACTGTTCTCCAGAGAATGGTTCTGGTACTTTACTGTTCTCCAGAGAATGGTTCTGGTACTTTACTGTTCTCCAGAGAATGGTTCTGGTACTTTACTGTTCTCCAGAGAATGGTTCTGGTACTTTACTGTTCTCCAGAGAATGGTTCTGGTACTTTACTGTTCTCCAGAGAATGGTTCTGGTACTTTACTGTTCTCCAGAGAATGGTTCTGGTACTTTACTGTTCTCCAGAGAATGGTTCTGGTACTTTACTGTTCTCCAGGGAATGGTTCTGGTACTTTACTGTTCTCCAGAGAATGGTTCTGGTACTTTACTGTTCTCCAGAGAATGGTTCTGGTACTTTATTGTTCTCAAGAGAATAATGTGCTCTTGTACTTGTTTGCCGGTAGTTCTGATGACCAATTTACAAAAAATATCAAGTCATGTACATAATTATATAGTTGACATTAGAATTAATATGATTGAAAGCCCTGGAGTGTGTATACGTCATCAGCTAAAAATATATATTGTTTACATTATAATCAGTTTAAAAATGATGCCCTCGCTGGGCACTCCTGAAAAACATAACTTCTAGAAGAAAAAATATCAAAATGAAGTCAAATGTGATAAATCTTAACAAATGTAGTCGATGGTATATTAATTTTAATAGGTGCACGGCAAATTATAAAATGATCTAGGAAAGTTTTGTTTTCATATTACACTTACAACGAGTTCAGTTACAAGGCGTGAAAAACTTTAAATTATAAACATAGCATTGATTTGGTTAGGTATATAGTAATAGAGCAACAGGATTCAGGAATTGAAAAACAACTTAACTCTATACATTAATTCATTGAGCAGCGAAACAGTTACGATTTTTTTAAACCTCGGAAAGCCGCTGATTTCGTGAATGAGAAATTTACTCGAGGAGCAATCATTTACATTATAAACACCCTTCCGCAGCTTCAGAATTCT